TTTGAGAATTAGAGACTACCTTCCTTCGGTGATAAGTAGCAATCAAACTGTTTTCATCAAACTAAGGGTTATGAGGAGAATATCATGTTGGCTCGTGAACTTGTGCAAATGTATGAATTAAAAAATATCTCTCCTAGAAGTATCTTAAAGATTGACCTCGCAAAAACATTTGAATATGCGGATTGAGGTTTTCTTTTTAAACTGTTGATTGCTATGAGATTTTCTGATCAGTTTGTTAATTAGCTGAAGATGTGTGTCATCAATCCCAAGTTCAGTGTAAGGATTAATGGGGGTAGTGGTTTATTTTTCTGGTAAGAAATGATTAAGACAACGTGATCCGTTATTACCTTATTTTTTTGCTATTTTAATGGAAGTGTTCTGCTTAATGAAAAAGGTTGTTGTGAATGATAATCTCCCATTTCATCCTATGTGTAGGAGGATATGGTTTACTCATTTGTGCTTTACTGGTGATGTGCTTATCTTCTCTAATGGTTCAAATCAATGTTCAAGAAGACGCTAGGCGCTATCTAGGCGAGGAGGCACCGCCCAGCGCCCAGGCCGATTAGTCGTTGCCTAGGAGAGATTAAACGTTGAAAAAAAATATGTTAGATAAGCCATATTCTACAAAAACCCAAGTCCCCATATCATTATTCATCCATTCATATACACATACAACCCTTTTCCACAATCCCAAACATCCTAAGTCGCTAACCATGAGGAGAGATCTCACTGTTGGTCGATGAGAGGGAGCGGTTGGTCGAATGGAAATGGGAAATAGAATAGGGTTTGAGATTTTCACAAAAATGATACACTTTCCCCTTTATTAGTTGTTCTGGGCGTCGCCCACCAGGGTGAAAACACGCCTCCGAGTGCCTAGGTGCCTAGATCAATCGCCCAGGGCTAGACTGGACGATTTCCTCCTGCCCAGCTATTAATCGCGCCTAGGCGAGAGATTAATCGTGTCTTCTTGAACACTGGTTCAAATTATAGGGTCCAGTGTGTGCAAAGGGTGCTTGATAGGTTTAGGGTCCTATCTGGTCTGGCTTCTAATCCATCCAAGTGTGAAATTTTCTGTGGAGGCTTTCCTATCGAGTGACACAAGGATTTGGCTGCCAGAACAGGGTATAAGTAGGGTAAGCTTCCAATCAGGTATTTGGGGGTGCCTCTGATTGTTCATAAGTTAACAATCAATGCTTATAGACCATTGATGAGAAACTGCGGCTAGGATACAAGGATGGAAAGCCTAAGTGCTAAGTTATGCAAGTCTATGGGAGCTTATTCTCTTTGTTCTTTATAGTTTGACTCAGTTTTGGATGACAATGATCATTCTACCTTAAAAAAAGTGATTGAGGAAATTGAGACCCTATGTGGTAACTTTCTTTTGGAGTTTGTTAAGGGTTGAGTAAGAAAGCAACTATAGCATGGCAGTTTTTAACTTTTACCAAAGTTGAAGGGAATCTAGATTTGAAGGACACATACCCTAGAATCTTGCTTATTCTGTGAAGCACATTTGATATATTCTTCTTGATCAAGGATCTCTCTGGGTGGCATGCATCTTTGAGTATAGATAGAAGGGGAAGGGCTTCTGGGAGCATGAAGGGAAAACGGGCTCTTGGATTTGGCAAAAACTTCTAAAGCTTAGGTAAAGGGTAAGCTCTTTTGTTTGTGGTATTGTCAGTTCCCTTAAGTGGAACTCTATTCCTATGCTAGTCTTCTTACTTAGGAGAGTTGGACAGAATTAAGGCCAAAGAATCCTCTTGCTGATTGGAGTACAGTGTGTGGTAGTCTCCTGGTATCCCTAGGAATTAGTTTCTTGCATGGAACGTTATGAGTAATCATGTGTTAAGTGAAGATAAAATAGAGTCCTGGAACTCTTCAAATTCTGTGGAGTCTGCTTTTTGTGCAGAAGCTGTGGAGACTAAGGGGTCGTTTGGAGAACGGGATTTAGTGTGTGGATTCATTGAATCCGTATATTTTGTAGAAAGTTATATTTTTTTGTTGCTTTTTGTATTGTGGATTTTAGTTTTAGATATTTCAAATCACTAAAATCTACGGATATCAAATCTCTCATAATTAGAGAGATTCTATATCTTGATTCGTGAGATTTTTTTCTCCTACTTTTTCTATTTCTTTTATTTATTTATCATATTAAATTTATTTATCAACAAACTTTTTAATATTTCTCAAACCACTCTAATTTTTATTAAGGATAAACATGTTATTTAATATAAAATCAAAATTTAATTTTCATTGAATGTTTACAATCACAGTTATCAAACAATATACATTTTAAAATCTATTTTCAACAATCCGAAGAGTTAGAATCTTTAAATTGTTTACAATCTATAAATTTAAACTCATATTCTCCAAATGACCCCTAAATCTCATCTATATGCTTCTTGTAATTACTATAGGGGTTTGTTTTCACGTCTATTTAAGAAATTTACAAACAGGATCCCCGGGGCAGCTGGGATACTGAGATTTGTTGGGCCAGGGAAAGTTGTAGGAGAAAGTTTTTTTTTTTTTTTTTTTAAGGGATAGAAGAAAGTTTTAAGGGAAGGAAATGGCAGTTTCTGTGCTATTGAAACAGATCGAAGATGAAATCCAGGTGAAAGCTGGGGATGCTGATTGCTGAAACTGCTCTTCTAGTATCGGTTGGTTTTGTTTTCTTTCACACATACGTATGGTCTTTCCCGTAAAAGTTGGTAGGTAGCAGTATATTTGTAAACATTTACCTAGCAGAGTTTTATTGCTAGTGTTTGCTGTGTTTTTTTCCATGATATAATACACAATCCATTCATAAAAAAAGGAAACAATCTCAACAATCTAACCTAAAAATAAGATTGTACAATCAATCATTCAATATAAATGATTGAATCTATCTCATAAAAAAAAGCAATTCATGTATTATTTGTCATTGAACATGATATATTGTAATAAATACATATATTCTAAAGTGAATTACGGTTGAAGTGAGCGATTTCAAAGTCGAAATAATATGAACCCAATACAAGGCCTTCACTTAAGAGAACAAATTTAAAATCCAATTCCAAATTAACTTCAAGAATGAGAGCTCAATCCAAGTATCTAGGGTTGCTTTCCTTTACTACTGGCGAATAATGTAACGCCACTTTCTACCCTCTTTTGTGCTTCTTCTCTGATTTGTATCGGGTTCGCTTTAGTTAATGAAATTTGGCACTATCAATTAAAAAAAGTGAGCTCAAAACTCGACGAAGTGGCTTTAACCCCATTTGCTTTCTTCTTGCTTTCTAGTCCAAACATGTTAGCCTTATCACCTCCCTATGTATATCCCATTTTTCATTTTTTCTTCCTAAAGGGATCGAGAAAACTACACTGCCACGTAGGACAACAGATTTCCCAGTATTCGTATAAGGCTATTGGAGCCACGTGTTTAAGTCCCGCATAAAATATATGCAGACACGTGACACGTCATTGAATTCGTCGTCTCACTACGTAAGCTTACACACCCTAACGGCCTAACCTTTCCTTCTCTTTGGCAAGTCGTTTTCCCCCCGCCATGAAATATGACACCGGAAAGCTCAAATCTCCGTTTTGGCGGTTCGCCACAAGCAAAAAGGGGATTGGTTGTTTTTTGAATTGTTATGGTTTGTAAGAATATCATAATTGGGGTACATACTACATAGGATAAGAGTTTATCAATCAATCAGAAAGACCCAAACCTAGCTAGGCCTCAAGAGTCTCATGTTTGCTTGATACGAACATGTTATTCGAATCAAGTGATCACGAAATCATGTCTAATGATGGTAAATGTTATTGTGTGGTATGTTTTCGTCATGTTAGACAATTCTATTCAAGTGATCATGAGATCATATGTATCTAGCGATAACCAATGTTATTGGAGTGGATCAAAAGACTAGTTAAGTTAGTTTGACAACACAAAAACCTCATTGTGATATTGTGTTTTTCTCGATAAGCTTACTCTTTTTATTAAGTTGACTTTCTTTCTTTGGCGATAAAATGTTAGCCAAGGTTGTTAAAACTTGTGATTGGTAATGAGTATAGACGTGGACGGGAAATTAGTTTTTAATTCCATTGTGCTTAACTATTTGACGTGATTGCTATTTGACTTTGTAATTGTCATTAATGTCTCAACCTCAGTATGGTCCTTCATTATCTATTAGTTTAAAGAGTAAGATTCTAAACAAACCCTGATGATTGATTACGATGAAATCCATCTAGAAATTAGTCAATTACCCCTAATCCCTAGGTCACGAGCTGATAAACTTGCACCAATATCTCATGGCATAAGATTCAGTCTCCGATACTGAAACCAATCAGTAGTAATTCATGGAAGATCACCAACCCCTTCCATGGTTTGTGAAACCGTATCGTACCAATTGTTCAACCGCAAAAAACACCGATATCGGCGGCTAAACCGATATGCACTATTTAGCGGTATTAACGATTGAACTACATTGAACTACGATTTCACCATAAAATACTCTACCGCTAATTTTCCAATACCGTCTCCGCGGTATGGTTTCACAAACCTTGCTTCCAAAGTACTACTTCACTACATCTAGCCAAGGATCGAGTATATTCCTTCGCTCGCTCGCTCTAAACCTAATCTAATGTGTAGGGTTTCCCACCGCCAAGAGATCATGGAGAGAGGCAGTAGTAACGAATTCAAAAGCAGCGAAACGAGAATCGAAGTGAATAGCGAAGCAAGGAATTGAAAAAAGAGGAGAGGGTGGACGCACCTTTCACCGCCGGAGAATTCGAAGAGCTTGCCGCCCGCGGAGAAGACGATAAGAGCGACCTCGACGTCGCACAGCACCGAGAGCTCCCGAGCTTTCTTGAGCAGGCCGCCCTTCCGCTTCGAGAATGTCACTTGACGGGTGATCTTGTCCTCGATGTGGCGCATCTCCACCTTCCCTCTCCCCATTGAAGGCGGCCGAGCGACGGAGAAGAGGTGCGGGTTTTGGAAGCTTCCTTGGTTTAATTTCTAGGATTGCGCCGGAGCGAGGGAATGGCCAACTGGCGGGATCTCGCGGTGTACCAAGCGGCGGTGCTGCAAGCAGTCGTCGAAGCAAGTAGTGAGTCAGTCAGTACTGTGGTGACCTAGGTCAGGTAGCTTAAGCTCCAAAATTCAAGTCTTGAGGAGACGGTGTATATATAAGGAATGGAAAATACCATGACTATATAACTACATGATCTTTCAAGGAAAAATATGTATGATTCCGTCACGAAAATGAGTGCATATTAGGCAATCAACTCTAAAACTAGTATTAAAATAGTGAATTTTGCATTTTCATTGGAATCATTAGTCTAAAATGATTATGTAACATAAGATGACAACTAATTCATGCATTATCGTAGGCTCTAAATTTTGAATCATAACCCTAAATTCCAAACCTTTGAACTCTAATCCTAAACCCTAAATCCTTAAAATCAAAATAAACTTTGAATGATTTTTTGCGCAATTTCACACGATTTCTTATCCTTAATATCAAAAGTTATGATTGATACCTTCTTTACCCATATCACATATTTAAAATGATGATTATAAGGCGAGTTTACGAGCTACCTCCACATACTTGGTATGTTTTTCTTACACTATATATTGTTGGTTGTTAGTATGCTTGAATGACCATAAATGATAAGCCTTTTAGACCAGTGAATCAATACTTTCTAGAGTTTTCTCATACTAAATTTCTTTCTAGATAATTGTTTGACCATAAATTTCGAATCGTAAAATAATTTAAAAGATCAAAAAAATAATAGATATGAGAACGTTGTTGATATAAAACAGAAATTATACATGGAACGCTAAAATCGCATTCTACGTAGTGAATTAAGACATCTAACTTCTTTTTCCCCATAGCGAACTTGCAGTATACTATCCAAAAGAATTCCAATTTTCTTGTTAAAGGGGGCAATGGATGAAGAATGGTGAACACACAAAAAGCTGGAAAAGAAAAGTTCAGGTGCATATACAACGGAACCTAACAATTTAACATGTTCTAGAGCGAGCATAAAATATGTGGTGCATAGTGCTGCTAGAAAAAAAAAATAAGGAAGTGCTACTAGCAAAGTTGGCGCATATAATCTTCATATAAAAATAATAAAAAAAAAGTTGGCGCATCTAATTGGGTGGTTTTCGTTATTTGAGCTTTTTCTTCCTTTTTTCTGGGCCCGGAGTGTTCCACTCCACTAGGTGACTCGGTGGCGACTCCGATCAAGACGGTCGCCGCCGCCAAGTTTTGGCGATAGCAATTTTTTAGAACACGACGCAAAATATATTGACGACTAGTGGACTAGAAACTTTGCTGCCGGCATGGGCTCGATGGCTACATGGAGTAGGACTGTTCTGGTAACTTTATTATGGGCCTCGGGTGATTGGCCCAATACTCCTAATAAAGGCCCAAGAGTCAGACGGAAAACAAAAGATTCAAATATTGACTCGGTTTCAACTAAGATTTCATGTGGACTAAATTAAACCCGTAACCGCTGGCGGGTTAGAAGAAAGGCACAAACCCATATGGACTGGTTCGACCTCTCCTACGAACCGAATATTACAATTCAGTCAGGTCTAAATTATTTTCAATTATTTCCAATTTTGGACTATAAATGGATCCCAGATGTTCATACATTTCTATGGTTTCTATCCCAAAAAAAAAAAACTTTTTAAGGTCTAATCCTTCTCCCACACAGCAATAAGCAGTTAGCAAAAGTATTGCAGTTCGCACATAAAGCAAACAGTGAGCAAAGGCGAAAATGCAGGCGAAAAGGAAAGAAGAAAACAGCTTCTTCGACGAAAATGACGATCGCGGGGAATTGAAAACTACCAGCGGCAGAATCGCCGATTCAAACAGTTCAGGAATCGGTCGGGAGCCTGGGATTGATAACCAGAAAAGCGAGAATTAAAGAGAGAGAGAGAGAGAGAGAAACGGAGGCGTGGCGTACCTTTCACCGCCGGAGATCTCGAATGCAGCATACCGGTGCCGCCGGAGAAAAAGACTGCGAAGGCGACGGCGGCGGGGTGATCCATCGGCATCGACGGCCGGCGGAAGCTTTCCCAGGCGGAACGGCACTCAGATCGATCGCCAAAGTCCATTTCTATCTTGATGGGGAAATTTTGGGAGGAAAGTCTTTGGGGAGAGGTGAGTTAGATATTTTATTTTACCTGTACAGATATTAGTTATGACGGTGGGTATATTAGGAATAATAATAATATATGGATTTTTTACCAGTAAATAGCTTTTTCGTGAAAATAAAAAATCTAATTTGCCTCAAGCCCTCAACTCTTTTTTTTTCTTCTTCTTTCTCTGTAACACTACTATATTTAACGTGATTATCAAATGGGTTTTATATTGTTGTGTCAGTTTAGCACGTAGTATAGTCTGATTGTGATACAATCGTTTTTATCTCGGTTTTAGTAAAATATATAAAAAAGTGAGAAAATAGTAACACGAAATGAATTGTGCTTGTATAATCTATTTCAATACTATCTTTCTACAAGCTCAATTCATATTTAAATCTAATAAACATTACAAACAAAATGATAAATTCTCATATTTACATAAAAAAACATATTTGTTAATTAGATTCACCAAAATTAAATCATTTTATTTATGGGCAAAAACTTTGTCTTACTAGTAGAACATTGATATTTTAACTAAGGACTTTGCTATGATAACTTACAATTCACCATGATTTGAAGAAAAATGGTCTACCTCTTTCACTAAACGGTCGATTACTTCTAAGAAAACGATATACCTTTTCCATTAAGTGGTCGACCACTTTTCAAAAAAAAAAAACAAACTCTACCGCTTCAGAATCGATTAACCTGATGAACTATTGCTAATTACATCATCATATATAATAAGATGAGTCAATAATAGATATGCTTATCAGTAAGAGAGTTAAAATTAGTACAAAAACTAGAGCATAGATGAGAAGTTTATCAAGTGATTGTTCTCCTGTATATTTGGAAAATATTATACACATTTGTTTCTTATATTTGACTTATTCTATACAGATTTTCATCTTTCCTTCAAATTCGAAGTTTGCTTGTTTTTATTATATAGTTGTCTTGTAATATACCAACTTTGTCGTTATTGTTGTTATAAAGATACTTAAACATTAGAGCATAGTTTTTAAACAATAGTGTCATCTACAAAGTCCATAAATTTCATATCATCTTGTTTTTATGATATTTTTATTCAAAAGTGTTAAAAGATGAAGTTATTCCTTTTTGTCTAGGCCTATAACTTGCATAGATATTTGTGTGCTTACGAGTGAGAGGATATTGCATTACTACAAACTAATTTTGTATTGTATGCCTATTATTGTCCATTATTTTCCTAATGTAAGTAAAATGTATAATTTGCTCGACCGTTCGCCAAAAACGATAGATCGTTTGCAGGAATCGGTAGACTGTTTGACCGAAGCGATCTACCACTTCCGACCAGCGGGTTTTAGTTGAAAGCAAGTGTAATCAGGTCGACCACTTGCTAAAATCGGTAGACCACTTGGTCGAAGCGATATACCATTTTCTTGAAAAGTGATAGGCTGCTTATTGGAATAGATAGACCGTTTACTACAAGTCACAATGACTTATAAGTCGTTATAAGCCTACCCTAAATCTAAATATTAAGTATCAATATAATTGATGGTATGAGAAGATTTTCATGATAAAATTCATTTGAATCAAGTGGAATTCCTATTTTAGTAAATTCTAAATCTTTCAACTCAGGCATATATATCCATTTTTTTGTGATGATTAAACAAATGTTGGCCAATGACCAACAGAGGAAAAGATTGGGAAAGCAAAAGAGAATTCCGTAAATGGGCCAATAAGCTCTTATCCATTTCCTTCCAGGGGAGGGAACATCATGAATCATGATGCACTAAAATATCTTGACAAGCCTTGGCAAAAGAAAATATCTTGCAAACAATCTGAGTGAACAATGACATCATTGTTGGAGGAGAAGAAGAAAAAGAAAATAAGACATGAAGGGCAGAAAACGTGTGGTGGACTGGTTGTTTATATATATATATAAAAAAATGTATGGTGTGTAGACCACACACCTCTGGCATTAAATATTTGGGCTTCTCTCGACTTTCCAGGCTGGACAGATCCAGGCCACAAAATTGATACGCATGAGAGAAGGAGATTAGCCGTGTGGGCTAGACAGAGAATTGAACCGATAAAAATTATCTTATTGTTTTTTATTAACCCAAACCAAACCAATTCGACAGCCTTATTTATTCTTGTAGGCGGATAGAAACATCAAACATGTCACCATTGTTTTTCCGAGAATAGGAAAATAGAAGTATTCGACAAAGAAAGAACGAACACACAGACACGTGATTTATATGGTTCAATAATACAATGTGTGTTAGTTAGTTCGCGGACAGGGGAGCAGTGGCGGAGCCACATTGGTTGATGTGGGGTCAGTGGACCCCACTTGGAAAGGATACTCACGTTGGAAAAAAAATAAAATAACAAGGGAATAGCAGTGGATTCGACCTTTGGACACCACATCTCCAAAGAGTTAGCTTAACCACTAGGACATTATGCTTCCTTTTAATTTTTGGACCCCACTAATTCATTTTCTTGGCTACGCCAATGCAGGGGAGAGTCAGTTTCACTATATTTCGAGAACATACAGATTACAGAGGAGTATGAGAAATATTTTCTTCTCCATGGTCTAATTCTAATCCAATATGGTAAAGGAAAAGAGGCTCCAATCAGACCCAAAAAAGAGACCCAACCATCGATCCCCCAAACCCCCTCCTTTAGTGATGGCAATGGGTCGGGGCGGGGCGGGTACCTCAATACCCATGCCATGCCCCATGCTATTACGGGTCGGGGCGGGTTCAAATTGTCATCCCTACCCTCCTTGGACCCCACTCGCTGACTGGACAACGTCCCTCTTAACATCCAATCATAGCCAGAGAGTCCGATTCAAGTCATATCGACGAAACAAATAAACATTTCTCAATTCCAGTTTTGATTAAAATTGAAAAATCCTTTAATAAATCTATAAACAATCAAAGTTATAAAGAGCAAAAGGATAATGAGATTAATGGTTCGGTTTCTGATTTTTTAGATTCCAGTTTATTTAAACCAAAACTGTAAAGAGTATATCGGTTTTCGGTTGACTAAATACTAGTAGGACTTTAACGATTTTGTTTCATTTTTTTTTATTTGGCAATTGTCTAATTTGAATTTTCGATTTGATTAATCGAAACCAAACCACCACACCTAATATCGACCCTATCGTGTGTTAAACCCGACTGCCGCACCTCAAATGAGATTATAATAACACGTCAACACTTAGGTGGCGGGTTGTCCAGTGGGCCGAACATATTCTTTTTGGTGCTCATTTGTGATGGAAGGTTGTAAATTATGGGCCTAGGTTGCAATCAAATGGTTTATGGATGGATAACTGATGTTACATTATATGCCATGGCCCACGAGCTCAATCTAGTGGGCTGGAATTAAAATCCGGCCGTCAATTTGACTCTATTTTTTATTCAAATTTATTCAATTTTTTTTAATTATCTAAACATATTAAAATGCTATTAAATAGTCAAATATTTCGTATGCATCATAATATTAGCCATGTTTATGGTATCATTGATAATTTTGTAACTCTTTCTTATTTAAAATACTAAAATTCTGGAATGTTGACTTTCAAGTGTCTCTTCCAAATCAGTATCATGTTGCCAAGTCAATATTACTAACGAAATTGATAACTGAAAGTTTACATTCGACTAATTTTTAGTATTTTGATAGGTTTGACTAATAAAAAGAATCTGTAAAAGGTTTGGCTAATAAATAGTCATTATTTCTACCAAAAAAAAATAAAAATAAATAGTCATTATTTTTTTTTATCTAAAGATAAAGAATATAATACAGCCTTTCTCCTTAAAGGCTTCACCATTTCAAAATTCTAGTTTCCTATGCATCCACGTCAGCAGCCCTCCCTCCAATCAGATTTTTTTCTTTTCATTTTACGTTATTATCTTTCCTTCGTAGATCTAACGGTCTACATTAAAAGAGCAGTTTATTTTTTATTTAATTTTTCAGTAATCCAATTAGAATGTGCCACCTAGCTCTCTCTCTCTTCCTTTTCAATCCCCCTACTATTCTTAATTGATTCGTATTTATTTTGTCCTTCGAATTTAGATACCTTTGCGCCAAAAACCATATTTTATGTGATCTACACAACGATATCCATTTTGATATAGGGTAAATTACAAAGATGGTCACTAAGTTTACTAAAAAGTGTTACATTTAGTCACTAAAAATAATTAATTCCATTCGTGGTCACTAAAATTAGTTAAAAGTTTCAAATTTGGTCACTCTCCGTCCAACTTCGGTGATGATCACTGTTGGGGATGTGCCGATTCCGGATTTTTTTGCGTCTATTTTCGGGTGCAACTGGAGTAACAAGCCATCAAAGTACCTCGGTTTCCCGCTCGGAGCAAAAGTGAATGCTATCTCGACTTGGGATCCAATCATTGAGAAGTTCGAACGGAGGTTGGAGGGATGGAAGAGTCGGTACCCTTTTGATATATGTTCGAAAAAAATTTAAAAAACGTGGTCGGGATCATATATTCACAAATCACGTTACTATTGGACAAATACTAAACTATATCAATATCATTAGATTCTACCTCCATGAAGTATACTCATGTAGTATACTCATGTACTACCAAAGCTCATGGAACATTTTCTTATTCTAATGAGTTACTAAACTATATCAATGTTTAGTTTTGTACTATCATAATAGCAATGCACAATAGTTTCATGCGTGTTAAAACATTGCCGTGAGGTAAAAACTAAGCGCCTGTTTACTTTCATTTCTGTTTCCTGTTTTTTATAAAACAGGTGTTGAAAACAGGTGAAAACAATATTTTATCGTTTTCGAAAACAGCAGGAAGTTGTCACTTTATGTTTTCATAGTTGAAAAACGAATAGAAAACAAAATGAAAAGTAAACAAGTTTTCTCGTTTCAGTTGCCAAATTTATGACATGAAAACAGAAAACAGGAAACGAAAATGAAAGTGAACATGACCTAAATTATCTTAATAAAAAATTACTTTCCGGCCAACTGAACGAGCCCAAAGCTAGTGAATATAAACTTTTTTATAGGCTAAATATTTAGGCATGATTTGAACTTTTCATATCTTTGACATGCTAATCAATATTTTCTCTATGTGCCCTGAACTAATTCTAAATTTTACTTAATTGATCCATCAAACTCCAATTAATCCTAAAAGCATCCACATCAAACTACTATATTCAATTGCAAAATGACATTGCAATGCAGTTGCATTTTTAATTGCATCGATGAAAGTCTCAAATGCAACAATGCAAGCTAACATTCTTTGCAATTCTATTTGCAATTCCAAGTAGCTATTTAAGGATTATTTTATGTATGGATGAAATAATAAATATATAAATCTTTTATTTTATTAAAGAATAAGTTTTGCTCACATATACAATTACAAATTAATTTCATTGACGTAAGTAAATAAAAGTAATGTGAGTTAAATCACAAAAAATTAAGGGGCGTTAAAAAGGACAAATGCATTTTGGATGCGAGACTCGTGGACTTGGGATTTGAGGGACCGCCTTTTACCTGGTTCAAGACGGGGTCATGGAGCACCTTGATTGGGGACTTACAAACCTTGTATGGCAGCTGCATCCCCGAACACTACGGTACACCACTTGCGAAGGATTAAAAGTGATCATAGACCACTCCTCCTGAGACTCAACCCAAACTTCCAATCGACGGGGCCAAAACTTTCAAGTTTTTGGCGGCTTGGTTGACTCATGAGGGTTTCTTCGACATGGCTAAACAGGCTTGGGACCGAAGGAAATGGTTTGCTTTCTTCGGCGGTAGCTTCCGTGGAAGATGCTACGTCTTGGAACAAAACTATTTTCGGGCACATTGTGAAGAGAAAGAACTTCCTGATGTCTCGCATTGAAAGACTTGAGAGCAGGGTTGGTAACCGTTTGGCGGAGGAGAATCTCAAGAAAGCAAGAGACGAGCTGGAAACTCTTTTACTTCAGGAAGAGCTCATGTGGTGTCAAAAAGCTAACCTGGATTGGGTGGCCTTTGGGGATCGAAACACTAAATTTTTTCACAACAAAACCATCAATAGAAGGTTTCGGAATCAAATAGTGGATTTGAAGAATAATGCAGGGGATTGGATCGAGGATCAGCCGGCATTAATGGAGCTAGCTCGGTTGTTCTTTACTCAACTATACAAAGATGATGGACAGCAGTTCACTCCTATCTCAGCAGCTTTTACCCCCTGCATGCATCACTTTGGGCGCCGTTAAGTGCTCCGATGACACACGAGGAAGTTCATAATGCAGTGTGAGCGATGGGTGCACTTAAAGCTCCCGGGAAAGACGGCCTAAATCCCCTATTCTATCAATGGTGTTGGAATATCGTGGGCTCGGCAGTTGTGGACTTTTCGCAGGCAGTGTTGAATCAGCCATCCCGAATCAAGGAAGTGAACTCTACCATCTTGGTCTTCATACCGAAAATTGCTAAACCTACCCTCACAGAGCAGTTCCGCCCCATAAGCTTATATAATGTAAGCTACAAAATGATCACAAAGTGCCTAGCTGAGAGACTCAAACCACTGATGCCGAGTCTGGTGCACGAGATGCAGACGAGCTTCGTTCCGGGGAGGCAGATTACTGATAATATTTGTATTTTGCAAGAAGTGGTCCATTCGATGCGCACTAAGTCGGGCAGGGTGGGTTGGATGGTTCTAAAGATAGACTTGGCCAAGGCCTATGACCGCATCAAATGGGGCTTTGTGAATGACACGCTTGCCGCAGCGGGTGTTCCCCAACAGTTTCTTGACGTTATGATGAACTGTATTACTTCGGCAACTATACAGATACAGTGGAATGGCGGAATCACGGAGGCTGTTAAACCGTCGAGAGAACTCCATCAGGGCTGCCCTCTCTCACCTTACCTTTTCACCCTATGTATGGAAAGGTTAAGCCACCTGATCTCGGCGGCGGTGGAAGAGAGGAGATGGAAGCCGATCCGACTATCGAGCCATGGCCCGGAGCTATCACATATGTTTTCCGCTGACGAATTAATTCTATTTATTGTGGCATCGCAGGAGCAGGTACAAGTGATACTGAAATGCATGGAGGAGTTTGGCGCGCCTTCGAGCCAGCAAGTGAGCCGCCCGAAATTGCGTGTTTACTTCTCGAAGAATGTAACTGCCTCTGCAGGGGGTTATATTAGCCAAGCCTTAGATATCACGAAGACTAATAATCTGGGTCGCTATTTGGGAGTACTGGTGATCCACGATAGGGTGTCCAAGACTACTTACACGGAGCTTATCGACAGGATTGTTTCGCGTCTAGCTGGGTGGAAAGTGAAGGCCTTATCTATGGCAGCGCGGATCACTTTAGCTCAGTCGTCGGTGCTCTCATCCTTGCTAGCATACGCCATGCAAATGACCCTTCTCCCTGCCTTGGTAAGAGACTGTATTGATCGTAAGCTCTGGGTATTTATATGGGGGGAGCTCGGACCAGGGAGGAAAGATTCATCTTGTCGACTGGGAGACTATCTGTAAGCCGAAAGAAGAGGGTGGCCTAGGTCTACGCAATGCGACTAGGATGAAAGATGCCTTCATGATAAAAATCGCGTGGCGCCTGTTCACCGAGCCAGAGAGCTTATGGGCGAAAGTTATAAGAGGGAAGTATCGGAAGGCAACATCTCGGGATGGCAGCCGCGAACCGCTGGCCAGCTGTCCAATCTTTGGAGGGGGGTCTTACGAGTTCTTCATCTTGTGCCGGAGGGGACTCTTTGGAATATAAGAAGTGGTATGCAAACACAATTTTGGAGTGATCGCTGTTTACAAGATGGCCCGCCGCTTGAGGAGTTCGCAGTTAATCTCCCGAAAGAGGCGAGAGACTTGATAGTCGTCGAAATGGTCCTGAACGACTAATGGAATGCGGACTTCATCCTAGCTTTCCTCCTAGAGCCGATGGTCTTGCTGCTTCAACTGCACCCAATACCGTTCGAAGAGGGCCCTGACATCCCCACTTGGAGATTCTCCCAATCAGGGATATTTACGTTGAAGATGGCGTACGCTCTTACTAGGGACGATGGAGAACAACTGTAGCCTTCCTTGATTTGGAAGGCAGCTTGGAGGATCCCGAGGTCGCAACGCACAAGAACTTTATAATGGTTGGTGATCTATAACTGGATGCTTACGAACGCCGAAAGGCTACGTCGACACTTGTCGTTAACATATAGATGTACGGTATGTGGAGGAGGGCCGGAGACTTCCATTCATGTAGCACGGGACTGTGCGTATGCTCGCGATGTTTGGTTATACTTTCTAGCAGGGGAGCCTGATCAGACCTTTTTCCAGGAGGATGTTGCGCACTAGGGACTCCACTACTTGACAGAACGTAGCACTGTTGTGTATGCATCAACCTTTGCACTAGTCTGCTGGCAACTCTGGCAGAATGGGAATGCATGGGGGTTTGAGAAGCAGATAGAGACGCCAACCTCCTTGGCGGCATGGGTGAGAACTATTCGGCAGCAGGTCTTGGGGCCACCCAAGCTGCACAGATGTTCATGGGAGAGCACCACCAGAGATCCCTTGTGCAGGTCAACTGGAACGGTCCACCGGATCGGTGGGCAAGCTTGAATATAGATGGATCGGTGATACTTGCTCAAGATAGTGCAGCGGCAGGGGGAGTGATAAGGAGAGGTGACAGACAGATGCTCAGGCTTTCACATCGAATCTGGGGGGAGGATCGATTACCCATGCTGAGCTGGCAGGCATTGAGCAAGGCCTTCATATTGCTTGGGACACGGGCCTTCGCAAACTCGAGGTTCAGACGGACTCTGCGACATCCATCGTGCTGATACAGGCGAACCCTTTAACCCACCCTCATCGTATGCTTCTGCAGTCTATTTGACGCTTCTTGAAATTGGACTGGGAGATCACCATCAGACATGTCTTTCGGGAGGGTAATTTTGTTGTCGACTACTTGGCTTCTATGGGTCATTCGCAACCTATGTGGGCTTGCATGTTTTTGACACGCCGGACACTTGTTTGGGATATTGGTTGTATTACGAAATTATTGGGGTTCAAACCCCTCGTTCAGTCATTAATTAAGGGTTGGAGCGCCCCTTAGCTCTCCGGTTCCGAAAAAAAAGGACAAATGCAATTGATGCGATTGCTCTAATTCATCGCCAAGCTTTGTGTTTGTCAGCGCCTATTTCACCGGCGAAATTCCTTCGCTCCATTTCTGCCGCGTTTCACTGCTGCTATGCTCCTCCCTTCTCTTAGGGTAAATGAACCTTCCTTTCCTTTCCATGGACGGGCTTAATCCCTCTTCTTTCACCCAGACACTAGCAACCCAATTCCTTCTTCTTCTTCTTCTTTATTCGTTTCCTACGATTTGGGTTTCGGCCCACTTCCCTCTCCTCTTCTAAGCTCAAGCCTAATCCCATTTCTTTCATTCCAATTTCAATATCATGTCAACCCACAATCACAACTCATCCTGCCCAATTGATCGATTAGGTTTTGGTCCATGTTTCTTAACTGGTTTGATTCGAGTTTTCTTACTTACTCGTCGATCCATCTCATTTATTAATTTTTGGTCGAACTTGAACCCAAAAACTTGGGATGTTACAGTTTAGCAACATAGGCAATAAAGAAAGTTCTTAACTTTAACAACTCAAAATATTGTAATAACTCATAATGTAATACGTCCCGAAGTGGATTTTTTGCCACTAGGGGGTGGTTTGTTGATGGATTTGATGAATGATTTGGATTCATGATGAAATTTGTCCAAAATTCATTGTTTGCTTCAAGTATTTAGAGGTAACAAATCCGTGAACCCCACGGACTTGAAAATCCCACCTCTCTAGACGAGAATTGATCATGGACTTTGAAGTCCATCATTTTTACCAAATTACCCCTCATATTTTCTTTCTCTTCTTATATCATTGAGGGTAATAAAGTTAAACTTTACTTCATACATATAAATCTAATTTACAAAATCCATCATAAAATTCATGAAATAAACAAATTCATGAAATAAACAATGATGTTTATTAAATCCATAATAAACCCAAAATTCTTTTATATTTTCAAAACCCAAGTTATATCAAAACTTTCACTTTGCAAATACAGCTAAACCACCCAGTTGACTAGAGTACATACACACGGATATAAGACGATATGGCTGCAAAAACCCAAGGAAATGAATTCTGGTGACAAAAAGATCACTCTACTACAAAGAAGACAAAACTATACATGACACAAGGAGTCGGCAAAAAGGAATCTGATATGGAATCAATAGAATCTTCATATAATTCACGGGTTAATTGCATGGTTGGTCACTGAGATTACAAAAAACGTTCACGTTTGGTCACTGGAAATATTTAAATCCAATCTTGGTCACTCAAATTATTTAAATGGTTCAAGTTTGGTCACTGTCCGTCCATTTCCGTTAACTCTAGCTTACGTGGCAGTCAACTTTCATAGTTGACCGTTAAATATGTGACGTGGCAATTAAAAAATTATTAAAAATAAAAAAAAATATTTTACATTTTCCACCTCATTACTACATTAATTAAAAAACAAAAAAATATATTTTCGCTGGAAGACCTCTCGCATCTCACCTTGCCGATATGCGGTGCCGGAGTTGTGAAAGGGTTCGAAGGGAAGCAGCAGTTTCAGCTTCTCGGCGGCGGTGCTAACTCTGTCACTGGCGGCTACACGAAAGGAGACGGCCTTGGTGCTGAAATCGTCGGCACTTTCGTCCTTGTCTACACCGTGTTCTCTGCCACCGACGCCAATCAGCAGGGCAGTATTCGAAACGACACCGCGCTGCAGCTGATGTACAGAATCGATGTCGCCGGGCAAGGTATCTCTCCCGACGGCGGCACCGGGATGTATCGGCAATGGAGCCCCGACGATAAATACCTCAACATCGATCCTCCTCCGGGCTCTGTTTACTACAATGACTCGGTTCCCCTGAGCTCCATTTACAGTAACGACTCGATTCAGCTGCAGTACAGAAACGAGATCCATAAGCTCGTCGCGCCGGCGACCGTTTACAGAACTGCCCGGGGGATGTCGAACATCAGCGACCAAGATTGGATCTTTGTGCTCGGCTGACATTAACGGGCCTGGGCTGAAGCCCAACCACGAGAGGCGAACAAAATGTAGGAAAGAAACAGAAAACGGGAAGCAAACGTTGGGTTCGATCGAGGAAGGGAAGACGCCGCCAATCCACCATTGCCGCCGCGCCACCGCGGGAACAGGCTCAAAGTAAGGATAGCCGGGAAAGAGAGAGATTCGACCAGCACTGTTTCCTTATTTCTACTGAGGAGGTTCCTTTTGATTTTGCAGGGAGAAGGGTGAGTTCGATTGCCTATCAGGTGTTCGGAGAAATTACTCTGTGAGAAATTTCAATGACAATGGTAACTGTAGTCTGTAGCCACGGCAAATGAAAACGGGAAAGAATCAAAAGGTGGATTGAAGGAGAAGCCTCAGCAGATATTCAAGGACTTCATGACGAGGGATTCAGCTGCAGTAGAGAAACGAGATCCATAAGCTCGTCGCGCCGGCGACGGAGTTAGCACCGCCGCCGAGAAGTTGAAACTGCTGCTTCCCTTCGAACCCTTTCACAACTCCGGCACCGCAGATCGGCAAGGTGAGATGCGAAAGGTCTTCCAGCCAAAATATTTTTTTTTTGTTTTTTAATTAATGTAATAATGAGGTGGAAAATGTAAAAGATTATTTTTTTATTTTTAATAATTTTTTAATTGCCACGTCACATATTTAACGGTCAACTATGAAAGTTGACTGCCACGTAAGCTAGAGTTAACGGAGAGTGACCAAACTTGAACCATTTAAATAATTTAAGTGACCAAAATTGGATTTAAATATTTCCAGTGACCAAACGTGAACGTTTTTTGTAATCTCAGTGACCAACCATGCAATTAACCCTATAATTCACACAAAAAACAAAAACGAGAATCGTATATGGTTAGTCGATTTTGTCACCATAGAGTTCCACCCGGAATATATTAAAAAAAAATCTGACGAAATTCTTAGTAATCAATTTCATCGATAGTTGGTTTGTCTTAATAAGGTGGTCTCAATTTTAATTCAATCCAATTCATCCACCGAAATATTTATCTAATTCAATAAATTTAAATTCATTCCATTTGATCCAAATCCAATTGAATTGATGGATTGATCCATGGTCCAAATGAGAAATTATAATTTAGTACCCGTATTTTTTATATTTATATTTGGTACCTAAAATGTATTTTTCATACAAAAATATAATTGAAAAATTACGTTTTGGTACTTAAAATTTTTTATTATGACATTTAGTACCTAAAATTTTCAAAATTTACATTTTGGTCGAAGGCTTGGATCCCATTTGGATCCATTGATCAATCCACCAATCCATATGATCCAATCCACGAATCCAATTGATCCAATCCACTTGATCCATCTATCCACCAATCCAACCCACCAATCCAATCCATTTGCACCTCTAGTCGTTGTGAGAGATCAATAATTAATAGATTATGTATCGTTGTTTTCTTCATTTTGTTAATTCACGCGCTAACTTGACGTTTGCATTGTTGTTGTCTCGTCATATTAAAGTTAGTTAAATCGTGAGATCAAACTTTCATTTGAAGAGGCGGGTAAAGAAGAGATTAACATTCATACTCATTCAACAATTCGAATTATGGGAATCAATTATTTTATGAAAAACTTACTGTGTCCAGAAGTTATTTTTTGAAAATAGAGAGTAAAATAGACAATATGATTTGTTAATCAGAATTAGAAAAGAAATAACGCATACCAACATACCATTTTGTAAAAGATTCAAGACCCGTCACGACATATCCAACTGACTAAAACTATAATTACTAGTATCCCTAAAAAAAAAAAAAAAACTAATTACTAGTAGAAGCAAAACGAGAATTTGGGAACACCAAACAACACTGAGCATTTAATTTCCCTCCTCAATTACACGTAACGTTGTGATTGAGACCCCTGATATACGTACACATATAAATACACAAGTTGAGAATCCAGCAAGTCCATCATCAGAGCACCAAACTCAAATTCCCTTCAAAAAAACAAACATAATAAAACCATGAAGAAGACCAACTTCCTCACCACTTCACTACTCGTCCTTATTGCCTTGCTCATCTTTAGCGACGGTATCTCCCTCGTCGTCGTCGCCACAGGCGACTACAACAACAACGAGATCGACCACCGCTGTGATGAGGATGCCGGCAAGTACGATAACACGACCAGCATCTCCTCTTCCTTGAGGAACGAGACCTTGAAATCGATCGATTGCGCCATTGCCGCCGTAGCCGGAGGGCAACCCAACAAGTGCACGTACAATCTCGAATCGGAATTCTTCGCCGCCGCGAATTGTACCCTCTCGCTGAGCAAGGACGACTGCAAGAGCTGTCTCTACAACGCCCAGTACCGGGTGGTCGACACCTACTGCCCGAGTTACTACGGAGCCTGGCTCAAACTTGCGGATTGCTACGTGAGGTATGACCGCGAGTCGTCGTTTTGCGGTCAGTGAGGGCTTCCTTCATCCTTGGTTGTGTAGCTGCGTTAAACAATATTTATATCGAGGAAATATATCCATCGAAATTGTATTCCGTATCATCGCTAAATCAATATGGCCTCACCAAGGAGAAATTTGATGCTATATATATGTAGTATGTATGCATCATGAGATAAAATAAAAAGCTATTGAAGTTCGATCATGTTTTTCTTTTTTCTCTATTTGTCCTTCATTTCAAGCGTGTACATGGGAAAGATCATCCCATTTGGTTCGACCGATAAAGAGATATTAATATAAGATCCTTATTTTTCCGTCTTATAATAATTTTGGTTATTGACATGTTTCTCAATCTTACACGGCTCCTCGTACAAAAGTCTGAGTTGTGGGTTTTTCAGTTTGCATAGGTTGAACACGAGTTTGATTTGAATAGTATTCTTTGAGATCTACGGTGTGGTATACACAAGTTCTGCAACCTGTGCAAACCTCAATCTCATTCAACTCCTTCCTTTCATGAGATCTATGGTGGTACATGAGTGTTGCAACAATTTACAGAGAACACATTGCTTATGTATATTGATACTTTTCAAATTGATAAAAAATATTCTATGGAGTAGTTATGAATTCATTTAAACAATAATTTTTAAATTATTTTAGTCCGGCACCAATCGTGACAATTTGTTCTACAGGGCGATGGTGGCGCGTGAAGGAGCGATCCCGCTACTGGTGGCTCTATCTTAGTCCGGCACCAATCGTGGTCGTGGTCGACACCTATTTTCATTTGTTTTTATTTTTTTTTTTTCGTTCAAAATGATAAAGGAAAGAAAATGGAAATAGGTTTAAAATTAAAAAATAATAATTGAAATTTGCTGAGTTGGCAGTGACATGGCGCGTTGACCGTTAGTCAACGCGTTTGACCGTCCAAGTTAACGGTCAAAATTCGGATCTGGCCAAATTGTTTATTTTGATGTATAGTTCGGGCCAGGATGTTATAGATCGAAAAGATTGGCCAGTATGTTTATTTTGGTCAAATTTCGGGCCATACAGAAATATTAACCCTTATTTTTATTCATTTATAAAATGATATATAACTTATTTTTTTTTATTTTGAAATTGTAAACTAGTGTGAATGTTCAAACTATATAATATATATGTCTGTCTCACACTCTCAGTGTATCGAATCTATCAAATAAGTATTCATAATTTCATTTTCACCAATCATTTGATTTTAATACTGTTCTTCACGTATCTCATAATGAAAAAATAGTATTTCAATACTTACAGCGACAACAAGTACCAATAGTTGTGCGTCTATTAAATGCTTGTTTATTTTTTTTTTTATGAACGTCGAAGAAACTCTCCCCATTGCACGATAGAAAACTCAAGGAATCAACTGAACCTTTGGATCAGTATGACACTTAATACGGTAACTCAATCATCAATTTGATGCATTAACTTTTCAACTTTCGGTCAATGAGAATATCCATTCAAAACTAACGTGCTAATAGTATGTTAATACATGAGAATATCATGTTAACACTAAATTGAGAATTGCTATAGTCAAAGAAAAATCATCTTATCTATGTTGTATTTTGTCAATTCATGATAACTAGTTGGAGGATTTTTCGAGTCTAAACAATTGCTTCTCTTACTTAAATTTTTCTCATGAAATTGCCATCTTAGTTTTGTTAGTAGTTAATTTGATTTAATTCAAATAGGAAAAAATTAAATACTTAATTGTAATCAAAATCTGCATGGGATATGATTTTTCCTATACATCTTCTGAACGATAAATCAACTTGTTTTTGTTCAGTTTCATTAGAAAGCTACCATGGGATTGAATAAAATTACGTTCCATATAGACAATACTTGTTCTTTTCAAGAATTTATTATCGGGTTGCAAATACTTATTACGCACAATACGTTTAAACCTCGGAAATTTTAATACTACTTGTACAAAATTAGTTCTATAAACAATTACAAATATTTTAATACGTCCAAAATTGAATTTCATGCCAGATGCCACTCCATAGAGCATACATATATATGCGATCTGAAATAACTTCAGAAAAGTAGTTGCATACTTGCATTACATTACGTACGTAACTATACAAGGGAATTTGAATCCAAAACACATATATATGCTCTGTTGCTTACAAGACGAAACTATACAAGACGAAACTAGCCGGCCAAGTGAATCAGATAGGTAACAGTCCGGTGACTATAGACTCCCAGCTAGAACACTAAAAAGAACATCTCACAAACTAACATCAATTCGTTCTAATTATAATTCGACGTGTAGAGACATGTTTAATAATGAATTTTATATTATTTGCTTACAAGTTTCTTCAATCAATTCGTGAGTTTGAAACTTGCACGAAGCGTTCATACTTAGAACATAAATCAACAGATAAACTCGAAATTATTGAAAATATTGTGAATATGTTATCTATCGATATTAAGTAACACAAACTCACCATCTCTATGTGTTTCGCGCCCTATCATTGGCCTATTCTAGTCTCTCGGGTTAATACCAAGGGAATTATATACTACGTAACATATCGAT